GGGGGGGGGATGTTTACCCGGGGAGGGGAGGAGTGGAGAAAGGTGGGGGGAGGTGATATGACGGAATCGGAATGGCGGAAGGAAATTGAACAGAAGTGAATGCGATGTACGGGATATACTTGATGGAGGGGGTGTCTGATGCCCCTCCGAGTGGCAGGGAGAGAGTGGAGGGACGAGGAGGAGCAGGAGAGGCGGGGGAGAGGAAGTCACGGAGGGGACTGCTGCTACTGCTGCTGCTGCTACTCTGCTGAAATTGCTGTGTGCTGACGAGCATGTGTGTGTGGAGGGGGGGAGGGGGAAATCTAGCCGCCGGTACAGGTCAGCGTTCAGCCTAGCAGCTAGGGCTCCCGGGAGCGCGGTTTCGGGTTCAGCCAGGCCCGCCATCACAAGCCAGCTCCGAAACCCGTTCACCAGTTCCGTTTCTCACCCGCAGGCAATATCTCCAGCGGCACGGGAGGCCGCTCCAGGGTGGGTGATCCCTGTACGAATATTGACGTGTAGTTGACCTGGAGGGGCCTGTAGGGGCCGGGGGGGGGCCACACACGATTGAAGGAGTTTGGGGTTGTGGTGGTGACGGCGATGGAAGTGGCTGTGAGTCCTGGTGGTGGTTGTGGGATCATGAGCTCTAGATCACCAGTGCAGCTCCCCCTGCACCCCCACGTTGGCCCACCAGAAGAAACAATACACACACAATCTCACATGCATTCATACATACTTTTATTTGTACACTATACTCGTACATTTAGTCGTACATCCGTACATACCTGTCATTGTACAACCCATCCATTACGTTCTTCAGGAAGTTTCCCGCGCTCAGCGGCGCACTGTATCCGTCCAGCGTCAGCACCAGCCGACCCGTCCTCGCCGGGCCGCCGGCAACAGGGTCTAGGAAACCCAACGACCCGTCCCGCTTCTCCACGGTCAACTCAACCACCGCCCGCCCCACAAGACGCGGCAGCGACTGGTACTCTTTGGGAATCAAAAAAGGAAGTCCGGGCGCCTGTAGGAGCTCCAGATCCGCTACGGTGCGCAGCGCATCGGAGACTCGGAGAGCGACCGCGTCGGGTTGTTGGGTTTTGACTGCGAGTTCGAGCTTTCGGAGCGAGGTGGTGAGCGAGTCGAGAAGGGTTTCGGCGGCGGGGGTAGCGGCGGGGGGTACGCCGGTAAGGATGAGGTCGGGCCGCTGGGCGAGGGCCAGACAGTTGGCAACATTGGCTGCCATGCTGCCCCAGGGCTTGCGCTGCAATGGCGGAAGGGAGGGGAGGAAGTGGAGGGGGTTAAGGGGGTGAGAAAGGGGAGGGAAGGAGGATTGTGGCCGTGTTTAGGGATTCCGAAAGGGAAAAAGGGGACTTCCAAGAGGGGGGAGAGAGATAGAGCAAAACGAGTTTGAATGTAGAGGGAGCAATATATAATGCAATGATTGAACGGAGAAAGGAAGCAGCGAATATGATTGTGGGATGAAGGGCGCTGGTGTTAGGCCAAGTAATGGCCGAGGACAGGCGTGCCTGGGCCGGGGGAGGGTTAGGACTTTAAAGGCCGGTTGGCGGCAATGGCGTGAGTGGCGAAGGTGGGGACTGCCCCCTTGTTCCAGCACCCTTCGTCTTACCTGTGGAATGCGAAGATAATATTGGACATCTTCTAGACTTTTTTGTATAGTTTTCACATCTGGATTGAAAGCGGGTATGGATCTCCGCAACGCTGCGTCAACGCTGCGTGCTATTTGGGCATTGGGAGAGTTCAGGACCGCGAACGCCGGACTGCTTTCACCAAGCAGGATTGCTGAAGCAGCTAGCGATCCGATAAAACGCAAAAGTAAATGCTCTGATTCGGTTCCGTCTGATGCTGTCGCTGGGCAAGATGTAGTAAGGCGGTCGTGCAAGCTAGGGCGCGGTGGTCTCAGCCGGAATGCTTTCTTATGCGACAAATAAAAACGCCTGCTAAAGGTTGAAGACATGCTCAGCTGCATAGGAAATGAAGTCTACTACGGTCAGCAAGTAAACTAACAAGACGAAGTGCGACGATAAGCGGGCGCGCGCGGAAAGAGCTATGTCCCTTTAACGTATGCGTAATAAATACAAATAGACACACATTTGTGCGGATATCACTTAAAAGAGCTTGCAAATAAATCAAAACCAACCGGGGCCAACAGTATCGGAGTTGTCGTACATCACGCCCAACTGCCCACTGTCTGCCCAACTGCCCATATATTGCTCTTATCGAGCACAACCGATGCATCAAGTGGGTCGTTGGATCCTGAAAATTGCCCCATGTTAAGCACCAAGTTCGCAAAGATGCCAAAGATCCGAATGACCAAAGTACGCGAAGCGGGTGTTCAATCTGTATCCACCAATCCAGCACATCCAGATCCTGCGTCGTCATTCATCGTCATCGTGGTCAGGCAACCTAACTTCCTGCTCTCACCGTCGTTAGTCCTCAACACCACGCGCAACGTTAGTCCTCCAATGTCCTGAGCTGCGCCCAAAACACAGTGCCTGTAGTACAGTACGATACCGGTACGAAGCTGCGTGTACGTATGTGTGTGTGTTCTAATGAGCTTCGGAGCCGCGATGAGGTTAATGCCGATGGACGGCGGGACGGACACTGAAGAGTAACTTCATACCGAACCGAGCTCCATAGTCAACAGCGACGTGTGTTTGAAATTTCCAATGCAACTGCAGACGTACCTACCGTACGTAAAATTTCAATGGAGTGTTTGACAAGAACGAAAGGTTGATGTCAAGAGCCCGTAGGAAAAATAGCGGCGCTGCAGTGGCGAAGGGCGACTGTATGTGTGTATGTATGTATGTATGTTTTTGTGTATGTGTGTAGAAATCAAGGGAGCGTTTTGCCGGTTGAGCAATGAGGATAAGGCCTGATTAAGCCACTGGCAATTACAGACGGTGGGGATGATCGATGTCGTTAAAGGGAAGGGGGAAAAGAAGAGCACGACCCCGGGATGAGGGGGAGGAAGGGGGAAAGGGGCAAAAAACTCAAAAACAAAACCAGGAGTCGTACACTGGTGGTGAGTGGGACGGGCACGGCTGGCAAGGAGAATCCTAAGCCGTAAGCAGTACGACATACACACCCTCCTCCTGGCCAGCCTCGTAACCCCCTCCATCCCTTTTTCGTGGTGATGTGATGTGATGATATATGCTATCATGTCTTACACGCGCACGTGCATATATACACACACACAAATACATCTCCGGCCCCCCACACACCCCGGCCCCTTGCAGGTCTCCCTCGTCACTTCCCCCCCTCGACCCTCTCTTCTCCACTTCTCCTCTCACTCCCCTACACTCCGCACACTCCGCGCAAACCCACTTCTCGTCCCTGACACACACACACATTCTCTCTCTCTCACACACACAGACACACACACACACACATGCACCCATCCGCACATAATAACACTTACACGCGACACTTCTGATCTATTTCCTTCCCCCGTAAAACCCCCCGACCCCCCCAGGAGCCTAGACCGACCGCCTCGTTCACGACCCGACCATGGTGGTAGCGCTGATACGTACGGAGGAAATACACACACGCACAGACATACATATGTACGCACATACATACAGACAGGCTAACACAGAAACGAATGTATCCTGCCGTACGACATGTTCGGCCCTTCTAGCATTCACTCCTTCCACTCTCACACACTATCGCAGTATCAGGCAATGTGATTTCAGCCTGTAAAGGCACACACACACACACACACACACACGCACGCCGCGCCACACAGCACCACCATTAGGGTACAAACCCGTCGGGAAGAATAAACTACCTAATAACCTGCTGTACTTCTGTACAGCGTAGTACTGCCGTACTACGTTCTCTAATTCTCACCTACTCTCTGTGTATCTATCTGCGTATATCCACTTATGTCTTTCTATGTGCCCTCTCCTCCTCCTCCTTCTCCCCCTCCTCCTCCTCGTCCCCTCAGTCGGCCTTGTCCGCGGGTTTGCTCCGCCTTTCCCGCCCCGGCCCGAGCACCTTGATGGCTCCCCGCACGATCTTCGTGTACCAGTAGCAGTTGAGCCCGGCCAGGATGACTGGAAACACCACCACTGGGGTTGGGGGGAAGTTGGGGGAGTTGGGGGGGGAGGGGGAAGGGGGTTTTGGGGGGGAACGGGAGAGACACTCAACAATGGGAAAGGCCCGGGGCTGGGATAGACATGTTAATTACCGGAAAAGGCAAAATTCAAAAATTATGATATGTCGTACAATGTCGTATCATGTTACGTTACGGCATCAGCGTCAGTAGAAGCAATACAAGCGTCATGAGGACAGCTGTAGCACCACCATTAGCCCTTAACCAGCAGCAGCAGTAGCAGCAGTAGTAGTAGTAGTAGCGACAGTAGCACTAGCAGTAGCAGCAGTAGTAGTTGTTACGGCACACACACACACATACACACTCACATAGGACTTGTGACACGGGTTTCAGGAGGGGAATGTCGGCACGGTGCTGCCACACCACCGAAAAGAACGGCACGAAGTTGAGCAGTCGCGCCACTGTCCAGGAAATCAGAATGGCGATACCGTTGACCACATACACAGGGTGGGACTTGAGACCCTGTATGTGTGCGTACGTATGTACGTATGTATGTATGTGTGAATGGGCGTGTGTGCGCGGGGTGTGTGTGTGTGGGGGGGGAGGTGTGTGTATTCTGTATGTATGTGCGCGTTGGGGGAGGGGAGAGATGTGTGTACACGTGTCTGCATGTCTGTATGTCTGTATGTGTGTGTGTGGGGGGGGTGTAGAAAGACAATCATGGTTGTGGATGGGGAAAGGGGGGGGGGGAGAAAACACCGCGCACAGAGCAACACGGCAGCAATGCAAAGGCTGCCAAGACTCACCCGGGCAACCTCTACCTCCCCCCTCCCCTCCTCCCCCCTTTCCCTGGCCCCCCAACACCACCCCGCACACCTACCACGTAGTACCGCCAGCTGCTTCCCCCACCCCTTCCAACCCCTTCCCCCCTCCCCCTTGACAATTACTTCCTCGACTTATACATACTTCCCAGCCCACTCTAGGAGATCCCTCCCCCCTCCCCCCTCCCCTTCCCCCCTTCCTCTCCCCCCTCCCCCCTCCCTCCCCTTCCTCCTACCGCCTTGTCCAGGAGGAACCGCAGCGCGATGAAGGGGGTGGTGAGCTCCGTTGACAACATCCACAGCGTCAAGCAGTGCCCGTCGCCCCACCAAGACGCACTCAACACACTGGCCAGGGAACCCAGGTGGTGTACGACCATGGCGCTGCCGCCCATCTGGGCCGTGTGTGCGTGTGTGTGTATTTTTGGGGGGGGGAAGGGGAAGGAAGGGGGAACCGGTGACGGGTGAAGCGAGCGGAAGATATGTGAGCGTGTGTGTTTTAATGTGCAGATGAGTGGACGGTGGGGCACGGAGGGCGGGGGACCGTAGGATACACCGGGTAATAAAGCCACATACACACACACACACAAACACGGTATTCCCCCGATGCGAGAACCTCAGCCCGCACACTTTAAACCCATCACCTTCCCCCTCCCCTCCCCCCCTCCCCCCCTCCCCCCCTCACCCAATACTTGAGTGTTATCGCCAGCTCCATGATGAAGAAGCGCGATGGACACCCCCAGCGCCGCGTAGCTG